GAAGCGAAATCTGTATTTGTGTTTGGTTGCAAAGCGGTTTCATTCGAGGGCAAGAGAGAGGGAGGGAGGGAGGGAGGGAGGGAGAGAGAGACGGGAGGGACGGGGGCGGGGGGGACGGGAGAGGGGGGGAATCGGGAGCACCGGGAGACCGAGGGCGGGGGGGTAGAGACGTGAGTGAAAAAACAGTGGACTGCAGGGGGATTGGAACGGCAGCAGGATATCGAGGGGTGCACGAATATCATGGTTGGATTGTTGACCGGGGAAACCCAGAGTACGACGTATCCGTGTTGGTATCTCCCAAGTTTCTAGGTTGTCCTTTGCTGCATTGTCGTGCACAAGTGGTATCCAAACACACCAACTTCAACCCCACACAACACCAAGAACGCGACATTGATTGGTTCATTTACATAAACATACCTTGTCGACGTCGATGCATCTCTTCCAGGACATCTTGAACGCGGTCACCGCTCGTGTCATGGCCGACTCGAACAGGACCCCTGCGTCACCCTCTCTATGAATCGGCAAACAACATGGCAGCATCCGAACAGCAGCAGCGGCATGAAGAGCGGCGGAAGGAGCGGAGCGAGGGTGTGGGCATGTGGAACGTCCGTTAGTTGATGCACGCAATGCGCTCGCCACATGGCTTCTCTTCGAAACCTTAGCGCGTGCGTACATGCATACACAGCGAAAAAAATGAATATACCTACGCTGCACTTGATTATGAGGCGCTCGTTTCCCCAGAACCCCGCAAAGAAGGGGGAAGGAGGCATTGACGTTGTGCCAAGCCAATAAAAACAGACCGCGTACTGGCGTTACCTCTCGAGCCCAAGCCTATTCACACCACCAGCACACATGTGTCATGGGCTATTTCGACGGCGCAGGCCTAATCGTCGTACGTAGCACATCCCATGTGGTTACATGTGTGGCAAGTATGACAAATCGACCACCTACCGAGGATAAGGTCCAGGGGGCGTGTGGTCGTCCCTCGCGATCCTGTTCATTGCGCTGGTGTCGAGAAGACGGAGGCCGGCTAGCATCTCCTGCGAAACACGAAAAAATTGGAGAAACACTTACTGCGGTGCTTGATTCATTCTTCTTCGCGACGTAGTGCTGCGAAGGGATTTTCAACAACGGAAGAAAAAAACCCCGTCTATTCTTATTGTTGGCATCGTTGTTGACCTGAGGAGGTTCGGGCGGCAGGTCGGTCTGTCCGTTCAGCTGGCCCAGAAGCCTCGTGACGAATGTTGCCATGGTCAGCGCGAGCGTCCCCGCCGAACTGCGGACCGGCTCGATTACAACTCCGCTTCCGCTGGTCATTGCCACCTACGACGGAGAGATTGTGACACCGCGCGGAGAAACAGATTAGAGAGTTAAGAAAAGGCATTCAGGAAGGGATACAGACAGATCACATATTGCCGCGACTTGGTTAATGAATCGACGAACGCTACTTCGATGCTATCCATGCCCGCTGTAGCGTCGTCATTTTGATCGCTTTTCATGATTTCTCACCTGACCATAGGCTTGCTTGGTGTGCGCCCTCTGCCCTGTGAAGTTGTATACGATCGGAACCACAACCAAGTTCCCACCAAAGTGAGACAGCACCTGAAAATGCGCACACATACCGCAGCAAGTAGCAAGGGATGGTCAACGGAAAAACAATATCGGATCTTTCGAGGCATATCCGAAGAAAAAAGTAACTCGCAATGAAACCTGGCGTGTGCCCCTTTCGCCCTCTGTCTCGCGAAGATTGCGTGGCTTTTTTCGATCGGAAAAAGTACCTGGGATTCGAGACTCTCTGTACGCATGCGCTCGGGTGACGCACTCCCGTAACTCTCCCATACGTTTCTGTTAAGTTTGTGTCCGCGTGTTTCCTGAGCTTGCTTGGTCTTAATCATCCCTTCTCCAAAAAACTTCCTAGCTTTACATGCCGCCTTAATCTTTCCCTTCTCCAAACACTGTCAGCTTTACTTGCCTTCACCTACAGGAACCACCACTACCACCACCACACCACCCGTAAGATCACAACAACAACAACAACAAAGGCCACATCTACTGCAACATCCACCTCCCACCGAGTCGAAAAGCGCGTAGAAGTCCGTGTCCGACACGCCCTTTGACACCAGGAAGTCTTCCTCAGCCTTGGCCGTAGGTGAGTCCCGCTTGGTCCGGTGGTACCCCGCGTCCGTGATGAAGAACGCCACCGTCGGTTTGGTGCCGTCTAGCTCCTTCAGGGCGTACAGAGCGGCCTTAGCATTCTCGTCGCCGTCGTTACCGTACGCTTTGACACCAGGGTGGCCTGTTTTTTATTGGAGAAGGAAAACGACGGAGCAGCGACTTATGATTCGTTGGTTTGAGAGCGTCATGATCGGCCGCAAGAGCCAAGGCGTGCAGCTCAGCCCCGTCTCTTTCGCATGTATGCATGCACTGACCGGGAGGCGTGGAGAGTGTGATCTTCCGCACGAACGTGTCCGCCTTTGTCGGATCGGAGAAAATGTTCACTGAAACGTAGCACCGGGGCCCTCCGGACGTCTTGCCGCTGTCAACAAGAAAAGAGGGCACGACAACATAAGCACACGCAGTCGCAGGAAATGTAGTTGTAAGATACCATTCTCTATGCCCTGGCGTCGTTCAACACTGGGTTGATGCTAGTAGCAAGGTCTGAGAGAAACTGAAGATGCTTACCTCTGGCCCTCACTATTGATAAACCTGCGCATAATCGCTACTGGTATATTGTGCTGTTGTCAACTTTCGGAACGAGTCTTGGAATATGGTCAAGGGGTTTCTGCCATACGAGTGCTAACTATCAAATCGGCAATATTATAGCGGTTGACTACGGCTATTTGCATTTTCCACACACCTCCACGTTATCGGAAAGGAGACAAAGCGTCTAGACACACGGTACTCTATTAACAAGATGGCCATCCTGCAACGGTCTTTCATACAACACCACCATACCCCTGCTGCTTCATTACTGCTGCGCCCTCAAATCAATTTTCGGAAACAAGAATTGATTCGACCTAAAGTAGTAGGTATCCGACACGACCGTCCTTAGCTCATATATTATGCGGAGGAGACGTGGAAGCTTTCACATATTGACGGAGGCAATCTATCAGCGGATGGATCTGAAAAACAACCCCGCTCACCGAAACAACGACAAAACACACACACAAACCTGCCACCCTCTGTAAAGGTAACGATGACGATACCCAGGTTGGGATTTTCAGCGAGCAGAGGGATGAGCTCTCGGACTGCCCTCTTGACGCCCTCTATCTGAGGGCCCATTGAACCTGAAAAAACGAGGAGGGAGTGCCGAACAATGCGGAGTGGATTGGCCTCTAAAACCCACAAAATCATCAATGGATTTAAGAGTTGTTCCCGATGTTTCCATCTTCATTCATCTTTCATCTCTCGCGGTTCTTTTCCACCTCGTCGTCATTCAAAGCAAAACGAAGACGACAAGGACTATCAGTATTCTACACGTTGCCGGTCTCAAGCACGAATCCTCTGCGGCAGATAGAGGCGGCAGTGTATGTGTGCATCGGCGGCTGGTGCAGGAGTGCTGTGAGGTTATAGACTGTTGTAGGCCAGGACAATAGTAGGCTAGGGAGGGAGATAAGCCACCCGAAACTCACCGGTGATGTCGAGAATGATGGTCACGTACGACGTACAGGCAGCATCCGCCGCTGGAGCGGCGGATGACTTGGACACGGCTTCCATTTATGTAGTCGATCTACAGCAGTTCAACAATCAATGTACAACAAATCCACCCCTCGAGAGTCAGACTACGTCGCAAGCTGACGGATTACTTTTCAGCCCTCAATGGTGCAGTCCTTTGACGGGCGACCTGATGGTGTGGTTCTGGTGGTTGATGGGTGTGATAGGTGAAGGGTGGAGGAAAGGAGACCGGCGGGAAACTGAGGAACGTGCGGAACGGTCTCGGCGGTGAGATGCCACTTGAAAACAAAAACACACCTTCCCAACATAACATATATAAGACACACAACACAGCTACCAAACTGTCTTGTTGAGCCTGTTATCCGCAGGGGAGATGTCCATATATGCTGTCTGGGAAATCGTGGACACACAACAGGTAGTTTTCTTTGACGCTATGATTCCATTGCTAATCTGTCTTTGACTCTTTTCTCTGACGGAGATGGACTCGTTGTGTTGTATTTGGAAAAATAAAAAAACAAGCCACACGCACCGTTTCATGACCTCCCTCTGGGATTTGAGGAATTCGCATGGTTGTGAGAAAAATCAACAACAGGGAAGAAACTGCTAAACCTTTCCAGCGTCAAGTGACGAAGGCAAGCACAACAAGGAGGAAGCTGCGACGTGGAGCTAAAAAGGTCTACACGTGCGCACATGCGGCCCCGCGGTCGTCGTGCCTCACATTCACGAAGGGTGTCTGGCGCCCGGGATCGATGCTGTAGGACAAAAACCACACACACACGACGGTTCTTTTGTAAACACAATAAATATGCAGGGTAGGTCCGAATCGAGCCGCCTCTCCTACAAATCACTGGGAATGTTGTACATACGGCTGTCTTGTGCAGACAAACGATGTCTGTCGTCGTCGAAGGATACCTGGGGGTTCTTTTCTAGACTATGTATAGTCTAGACTAGTCTGGTCGTTGTGTTTCATTTTTCATTTTTCTTGTTGGTGTGTGTGATCATGGATTGACTTTCGAAACCGTTTGGGAGCCTAACGCCATTGATGAACGGTTCGTGTCTCCATTACCACTCATAATGCATGCGAGTACCGGATAGCCATTTTCATTCGCATACTACATTTGTACTATCTAATACGAATACACGAAAGGATCCACACAACAGCAGTATAAGCGCGGGGAGCAGCATAATATCAAGATATGCCACTAGCGTGAGAGAAAAATGGGGCTAGGTAGGGGGCTACCCTACCTATACCCTTGTTCCAGGTACGGAACCCCCACAAGGTACGAACAAGGGTGCCGCTTGCTCGCGAAGGCCTTGCAGAACCACAACCCTCTACATCGAAAGGTGAGGACGTCCTACTGCTACTGTAGGTACCAGTTTAAGTCACACTTGCAAGCTGAGAGGCTTTGGATGCAGCTGTGGTGTGATGCGCCCTTCGCAAGCATACACGGACTGGGGGTGCAGGTCGCACACACTCTTTTAGCTTTGAGCGAGCCACGACACCACAACACTGATTGATGACTGACCATCACATCGTCTGCTTGCCGGCACTTCCTGTAGCTTCCCCGTGTGGAGAGCAGGCCTGCAGAAGAAGCCCTGACGTTGTGTTGAGTGACCCCGGTTCGTGATTCGCCGGCGCGTGGCAAAGCGGGCTTTTAGCGGGATCAACAAGTCAGACCTCGCACGGTCGGGTGCGATTTCAAATTTGTTCACCCCCCGACTCACGACTTAGGTGTGTTCCTGTGTACTGCACCATGCACCAGATCGAGGCCCCTCCTTCTGGCTGACACAGGGAGAGCAACCAAGCGTTTCAGCACGTGGCCAATTAGACCCTAAGTGTTTGTACCTGGACAACGAAGTACAGCAGTTATGCGCAGCAGGTGCATTAAGTCTTTTCGGTGCAGGACGCCTGCAAGTGTAGTCTCGACCAACACGACGCTGTTTAATGTATAGTCTAGTGTACACGCGATCGGAGAAAGTGCACAGATCTCGTCCTGCTGTGTACACACAGCAAACTGTCAGCGCAGTTAGTTTACAGCACATCCGGCGTACTTTACAAAATCAGTCGTTTGGCAGAGCGAGCGCACCGTGTGTGAATGCTTCGTTCACCGCCCGGGGTAGATAATAATAGAGCTGCACTGCGTCAATCGTTTACACCGACAGGCATCTAGGTCGGTGACAAGTCTATTTAGTGTTGAATGTCGCGGGGCAACCTCCACGGTCGTGGTATGCCGTAGGTGGCATGAAGATATCACAATCCCCGGTGGGCCGATTTTCAAAGCTCAATCACTCCACAGGGGAGAGAGTGGCGGTGCGGAAAATGGCAGCGTTAGCACAGCACCGAGCGTTCCGAAGACAAAGTGTCATTTCACATGCTGTAACATGTAGTAGAGCACGACTTGAGCGTTGTGGAAAATCGATCCAGGTAGTGTAATGTCATATGTCACCCATGGTACATGTCCCGCCGCAAGTCGGAAGGTGTAGCTATAAATTGGGCATGACGCGCGAAGAGTTCCATGATGAAACACCCTTGTTAATCCCCCCCCGGCTTCCCCCTCGACGAAGACGACGAGTTCAAATGTGATTGCGGCTTCGAATGCGAAGACCGTGTTCATGTAGTCGCGGAATGTCCGATGCACAAGGAGAAGAGGGAAGTGTACGTGACTGAGCTGGGAAAAATAGATGGAACGTACAGGGAGATGTTTGAGGCATGGAATAGAGAG